CAATTCTCCTCATGTGCTTGCTCTTTAACTCTAAAATGCCCCTGCAGTGCCAACCTTAGACTAATGCTTCTATTCTGTTCTCATTTTCCCTGACAGACTCCCTGCCCTTCTGTTCTATAACAGGTGAAAGAAAAGCAGTGGCTGTACTCCCTCAGGTGGTACCATGAGAAATATCTGAGCTTCCTTTCTTGGCAGGAGAGATACCAAATATCCATTTGCATTGGCAGCAGCTACCTGTGGTCTTGAGTCTTCAGGTGCTCGCTCCATCAGAATCTCACCTTCTTGGATGATAATAGTAGCTACATTTCTTAAGTTTTACTATGTTCCAGGTGCTGTGTGCTTCACTTAGATAATTCCACCCTCACATTAACCCTATGAGGTAGGTACTATTATCCCATATTATGGAGGAGAAAATCAATGCACATAGATGTAACTTGAGTAACTTGTTGAGGGTCACAGAGCTAATAAGTGACACAGCCACATCCCAAAGCTCAGGATTCTGCCTACAGAGCAAGAACTCTTAATCATCACACTCTACTGCATTTCCTATCTCCTCTATTCATATCTGAGAAAATTAACCTTTCTGGTTGTACAATTCTCTTTAAGCAGAGGATCTCGAAGCCATCAGCTTGTGTCTTGAATGCTAGAGTTGTACTATAATTCCAAACCAAAAGAGCCCTTACCGGATCTGATTTATTAAAGAAAATTAGACTACCTCTATTATATAATAGTTTCTTTCACATTTATCCACCCACTTTTTTATAAGCAAAAAGTAAAAGTGTCTGGCACTGAAACCACAGGGGAAATAACACTCAGGGTCCTCACTGAGTGACCGAAGCCATTAATGGTCAGCATGGGAATAAACATATCTTCAAGACTCTGTTCATATTAGTACTCTATGTGCTATATTTCTCCCTTTTCCAATTTGAGGTATGTTCCTTCAAGATCCAGCTCAAAGATAATTTCTTCTCAAAAGTCTTCTCACCAAATCCTGGGCAGAATTGTATTTTTTCCTACATCTCTGGTCTTTTGAAACCTTGTAAACATCCCTACTATAGCACTCTCACACCTAATATTGTAACTATTGTTTCTAGGCTGCCTTCAGCAGTAAATTTTAAGCTTGTTGAGAGACTATCATGTCCCTAGGGCTTAGGCTAGCACTTCAAGCACCTTAAATATTTGTCAAGATAATTAACAAATGAATAGAGTAATATAATAGTACTTAGGGAATTCACAAAAAAAAAGAAAAGAAGAGAAAATTTCTCTGAACATCCAATCCAGGGAGAGAGAAGAAAACTTGTCCATTTACTTTTTCTTAACCACTGAAAAAATTCATATTGTGTCTCATTCTATCAATACAGGATTGAGTTTGCACTGCCCACACCAGGAACTATAAAACTTGACAAAGTTGAACCATACGTATGTAAATTCAAATTCCAGCTTGTTCAGTAACTCTCCTTTTATCTTCAGGAACATTACTTAAATCTTTTTCTACCTAACAGTGTAGTCAATACTCATTATTTGTGGTAGTTATATTCTACAAAATTACAGCAAACACTGAACTAATGAGTACTGCCCCATTGCTTCTAGGGAAAATACAGGGTTCCTTCGAGAATCTGGTCACAACATTTTCATCAACCAATCAATGACCTTGTGCGCTTCTGTTAAAAGATAACTTATTTAATGTACATCATTGATACACTAACATGGAAATCACAACCAACAGCTCTCTATACTTTATGCCTGAACAAAATTTATCTAACATATGTATTTTCTCCGTAAGACACATCACAGCCTTCTTGTGCTTAGGATCACTAGACAACCCTTCAGCACTGTGCTGGGCCATATATTTGAGTGAGTATCATGTATGTGTGTAATGGAGGTTGTAGCTATTCTGTAGCTCTTGCTTCAATATATCAAATTAATTTTTTGTTGAATCTGGTATTGCTAGCCATTTTAAATAAAACACCTTGCACATAACTGCATTTAAAAGAAAATATTCTCTTTGAATAGTTTTACTTAATCTTTCTTTGTTCTTTGCTCATCTTTTCCTAGTGGGGAAAAAATGAAAAAGCTCAGTGGTACTTCCATGATTATTAATTTTGTTGTTAATTATTTCAACAAACATTTGTTGAACACCTTCTACTGTCAAGATTCTATACCAAGTCTTATTTTAGAGAAGCAGGCTGGAACTTGGCTAGGTCCCAAAGATAGATCAGGAAAATTCCTTTTTCAAAGATTTGCTAATGAATGCTAATAATACAAGATATAAAGAGATGAGGGAGACAGAGTGCTATTGGATTTCAGAGGCTCAGAGGACCAATAGATTACATTAAGAGATTGAGACAGACCAAGCCAGTCTGAAAGCACAGAGGAAGCAAAGACTGTGAGCCAAAAACACATAGTACATTCCAGAAGCAGGATGGTTCATTGAGCTCAACTGAAGAGGAAGAGTGATCTATGCATGAGGCTGGAAGGGCAGGTAACCTACATACCAAGATAAAGACTTAAGGTTGTTATTCAGGGGGCCTTGAAGCTCCATGGAAGGTTTCTGAGTAAGTAGTGACATAACCAGAGTTGTCCTAGGACAATTAACAGTACCACAGTGTACGACATGGATGAGAATGTAGGTAAACATGTGAGAGAGGATTAAAGGAAAGAGGCCACAGAAATGATGTGTGGGATGAGGTAATTGGAGACTGACTTAGGATAACATCAGTGGAAAGAGAGAGGAAGGAATACATGAAAGAGGCACTGTGTAGGCAAACCAAACAGGAAAGGAAGAGAACTGAAAAGTCAGGATGACATTAAAATTCTAGCCTAGGGACTGCTAATTCTACAGAGAAAAGTAGAATATGCAAGAAAACTTGGCATTCAAGATGAGCTCTGTTTATGCCATATCAAGCCTGAGGTGCCAGCCAATCACAAATATCCAGAGCCCTTGGAAATGGCGAATTGAAATTCACGTAAGGTACAAAGGATGTTGATTAAGCTTTTAAACCAGAGTTCATAATCCAGCAAAGTCAATAAATATATGCAAATTGTGGAAAGCAGAATAAAAGAGGTTACAAAGTTCTCTAGGATTTCAGAGAAGAGAAAGGTTATTTTAAGCTGAAGTAGACAGTCTGGCATTTGAAAAGACTTACTAGAGTTGAGCTAAGATTTTGACAGATTTTAGAGATGGAAGAAGAAGGAATTCCAGAAGAGGGCATTCTGGGCCCCTGAAAAGATACCAGGAAAGCCCGTGAAATAGGAAAATGCAGCTGCCATTTGTGAGGGAATGACAAGGACAACGATGTGGTTAGGACTTTATATATGCATATGGGACGGATGAGGGAGCAGGATGGAACTGGGGGAGCCTATTTCTGACTGTGCCAAAATGACAATGAAATAATCAGCCAAATTGCTCTAAGTCAAACCAGCTAACTAAGCAAGTGGTTAAACATTGTTGAGTCAGTGCATTCTAATGAGTAACTCAATCAAAATGTATTTCCGATATGACCTGACAAACTTAATTTCTTGAACTTCAGCTCCCCAAAATCTTAAAGCCCTCTTCTCTTGAGAATTACAGACTATTTATTGCAGTATTTTGCCTGATGTTTCAACTGTGAACACAGTGTTTGAGGCATTTTTAAAAATTATAACTTGTATTTTCCAAATAGGACTACGACTATTATTTTTGAATATAAATGGTAACTAATATAAATATTTCAGAACTACAGGGAAAAGTTGTACTTGGTTACTTTATTAACTTTTAAAATTATAAAAGTTTCATTCTTTGTAAGAAAAAAATACATCTTTGAAATGTTTCATATAACCCACTCCCACAATGTATTTTTACAATTGCAATTTAAGAAAAGGGCACTGGTGATATAACGTAGAATGTAGTACTAATAATTCTCACAGCAGTTACTTTCAGAAGTATAGGCACATAATTTTGGTAATATATGCACCTCTATACAAATCAGGACATTATTATTATTTATGGATGATTTCATGATTCCAAAAAGACTTCATTTCCTTTTTCCCTCAGTAGTTAATTAAAAACAGAAACAAAAACAAAACTAACAAATAATTCCTGCCTTTTCCAAGTGAAATGCAAATAAAACTCTCAAATAAAGACTAGGCTGAAGGAAAACAATACCTGACCTGGGAGTTTTGCCAAACCTTTATTTTAATGAATACTATGCAGGATACAGGAAGAGTATCATGTTGGAAATGTAGAAATCAATTAAGCGTACTTGGCAGGAGTACATTTTAGTCAACAGTACAAAAAGAGTTAATCTGCAATGCAAACTGGGGTTGCACTGAATGTGTTTTGTTGCCATCCAACAATCTTTGTTTTAATGACAAAGGTAATACAGAAATCGGGAGAGTACTTACATTTTATTATAGAAATAAATGATGTTGCTCTAAAAGTCTTCCATGACGAGAAAAATATACTGTGAGAAGTAATCGAATTCCCTATTTTCTTATCCAGAACAATTCTTGATTTGCCTCATATTGTTAGGCAGTGGTTACACAAAATTAAATATGGTTTTCCTCCTTCTGATAGCAAAACCCCAAATAAACCTTAAACTATGTTTTCTTTGCATGTTATAGTTAATGCACTTTCATTATGCTTAATGTACTTTTAATAGTCTCCTATGGCAAGATGCTGATATTAAATGTGGAAATAAAATATCCATGATACCACCTTGAATTTGCTATAGTCCCTTTTACCTGAGGGCTCAAAGCACTTCACATACATTCTCATTCAATATCTCCTTGAAGTGTAATATGTGCATTTTATGGTTGAGGACACTAAGCTGCAGAAATGACTAAGGGAACTGAGGTCATTTCCAGAGCTCCCACCAAGCACAACCTGGATGTTTCTCTGCAGGAGTAAGCATTCTCTCCCTCCAGTCCAGGCTACCTCTAGGATGGCTGCACTGGCTTCTAGGGCCAAAAATCGATCTTATTTTCGCTAGTCTTTTACTTCATGGGATTGTCTCCCTTACCTGGACACCATCAGATGCAGGGATGTAACTAGCCCTTTTAAACGTGTCTGTCACATTTCTGAGGATTTCCACAGACATCAGAAGATCTCCCGCATAGAAATTTTTCCTCTGAGTTAAGTCCAACAGTGTCTTGGTCACCTGGGACATTCCATCACCTGCTAACATTCGCTGCCCCTTCGCAAGGTGTTCTTTAATCTGTGATGGTCAAAAAAACCAGAGTAAACATCAGAATCTTCATTACTATTTCTCCTCATATGTTCACCAAACAACTGTATTTAAAATTACTCAGTCAACTTTAAAGTGGCCTTACAATACTTGGGAGGATTTCAAAACTGTAAATTGTATGTATACCACACTTAGATGGATAAACATCCAGCATGCAAAAATTAATAACTGAATACATTTTGGCAGGCTTGACAGTCTTGCTATTTCTACTTAGAACACAAAATTCAACACATAGGGAAAATGTGTATTCATTTAGGTTTTTAGTAAAAATAAAAAAATAAAGTAAAAACCCTTTTGCATATGATAAACATGGGAGATTGTTTAGTAAATTGTGATCAGAGATGGAAGATTACAAAATCTTCAAAACACAAGCTGAGCTTAATAACTTTTGCCTTACCTCTGAAAATAAACACATCTTTATATAGCAGCAAAAAAAAGTTGTCACAAAGACACAAGAACAATTTTAAGAAAATGTCTCTACCCTTTAGAGCTTTATTGTGACATGACTGAAAGCTAGATTACTTTAGCTTTATTTTTAAAGAGATAAACAACAACAGCAAACAACAAAAACTCTCAGGTAGGTCTTCAGCAGCAGCACAAACCAGTAAGGTGCAAAACTTAAATTAACTTGATAATTAGGGCAAAGCCAGTCAGTTCTCATATTTGCTGATTTTACAGTTCAAGGTAGGAAAAGCATCTTATAATACATAGGAATGGTAAGTTAAGAGAGGGTAAAGTGATGGCTAAGATCCATTCTTTTACTTGTTTACTAAAAGGTTAATCTTTATCTTCCCATTGCTAAATTTGCAATAAAGTTAACTTTAAAAAAATCATCAAATAATCAAGAACTAACACAACAGAAAAATATTGAAAAAGAAAGGTGAAAATGTAATCACTGAAATTTTCAATTTTCCATTAAGAAACACACTAACAGATCCTTTAAAGTATGGCAATCAATATGAACTAATCAAAAAAGTAGAAATTGCCTAAAAATTATAATTTTAGAAAGTGTTATTTTGACACCAGATATTTTACTTTACTCTTTTTTTTTTTTTTCTTTTTCTTTTTGTTTCTTTTTCTTCACTGGGTCAGTAATATTTTACTTTCCTTTATCAAACTCTGTCTAAAAATATTTTGGTAAAATAAAAACCTGTACAGACATACTTTATTTCTATTGTGTTATGCTAAGAAACATAATGTATTTAGACAGTTTTTTTTTTCCATTTTCTTCTTTCATTTCTTTCCATCTCCTTTCAGTGGTAGTTAGCAACTACAGACTAAAGCCCAAATGATTGGCTTGGCATTAATGATCTAGCCCTTGCCTGCCTCTTTAGTCTCAGTGCCCATTGTTATGGAGTGACATTAACATATTTAATCATGATACAGACATGGCATTAGCCAATCAGATGGACACTAATCCTCAGAGTAGAAGTCAGCTGGTTTGCCATGATGATCTATACCACTGGGCTGACCTCTAGCCATGCTTTAAAACTACTGATAACTATTCGCAATTTTCTACTTTGGTCATGTGTCCCATGACTTCATGTTTTTGTACTGGATATTCTACTCTCCTGCCTTACATTATCTCTTGTTTAAACACCACTCAGATTTAGTCCTTGTTCTTCTAAATATATAACCAGAGTTAATAGATTCCTTCTCTGTGCTATTTCTTATCTTATACACATATCATTCTTATCACAGTGAATAATAACCATTTGCATATATATTTTTCTGCACCAATAGTCTTTCTGAACCTTGGGGGTAGTTTGTTTGCCTTATTAACAGCCTTAGTATGTAGCATAGTAAAATTTCATTCAAGTGAATTCTGTTGTTATTTCCTAACTATATGTATCTTTGTGTATAGTACAATGGAATTGGATTTAGAGTCAAGTGTTGCTAGGTTTCAACTTTCAGATAATTTCAATTTTGCAGCTTTTTATTATTTATGTAATTGAGTGCATTGGAGACACAGTTTGCCATGTCTCCTCTAAGATTTGAAAAATATACCTATATGGTAAAAATGCTTAAAAAATCATTTTCTTAATTCAGATGAACCGAGACGCAAGCCTAAAACAACTAGCAGAAGCTAAGGCCTACAGGAAAGTGTTTTGCCTCACCATGGTCTATCTGCCCTACATGATCTAGTTGCTGGAGGCTTTTAATTCCTTTTCCCTTACTCCCTGTGCTCTAGTTACTCTGGTCCTTTTGCTTTTCTCAAATGACACTAAGCACATGCCTGTCTCATGTGCTTTTCTTCTTGCCTGGAATAGTCTTCCCACAGAGATTCTCATGCTTTTTTTGTCACCTTCTCAGAGAGGTCTGACCTGACTCCCTATCTAAGATGGCACCCTTGTCATTCTCAATCATCTTATCCTACTTTATCATGTTCAACCTCACGTGCCATTGTGTCATCTGCCTCTCTTGCCTTATTCACTTTTCTGCCTCCACCATTAGAATATAAGTCTCATGAAGGAGGGGATTTTGCCCATTTTGTTTACTACTGTATTCTCAGCATCTTGAGGCCTTTTCAATATGTCAAATGAATGAATTAAATGAATAAATAAATGAATGAGTCAACTTCCTTTTATGCTCATTTTGTTGGGTCATAGGATTAAGGTAGGCACACTTGAAAGCTGTCCTAAGTCACTCATGAACACTTACTCTGATACCATGGCAAACACTGGTATAAAATAGCATGAAATAAATAAACTACATGACTTTAGAGACAGTGCAGCTTCTGGATTTAAAAGTGTCTGGTTCAGTAGGTGGAGTATGGAGAAAGTCTGAAATGAAATAAAGTTAATAGGGTCTAACTAAAAAAAATCATAAACATCAGTCCTCAGTTTCATGCTGGTAATGCAAATCAGCTGTGATACTCAAAGCTGCAGAGGACTTCAACAGTTCTCCATTGTGAATAGAATGCAGCAATGTTTGCCAAGGTAAATAATGTCTGATTGCCTCAAATCAGCCCTTTGTTATTATTTTGGCAACCCTTACCTATGCCTGTGAGGGATTTAACTTGTACAGATCTAACGCAAGCTTCCCCTCAAACAAAAGCGTCACAACATTGACTTGAATCTTGGGGAGTAAAGCATTTAGACATGTTTTCTGTTTGCAATAAAAATAGTTACAGAGGGCTCTGGATAGTTCCACTAATCAGAGCTAGGAAAGCCAGTCTTCCATGTCTGGGTCGGCATCAAATCCAACCAGAGTCAGTAGTAAATTAACATTGTTGCCATCTGACAGATGCTTAGCAAACTTATGTGGAATGAGTTGTTCTCAGTCCGGCTCTTAGCAAACAGGTGCCCAGATCACAACACCAGCTCTCACAATTGGCACTAATTAGCATCCTTCCTGGCGTTGTCAGTTAGAAGCACTCAGGACAAATAGCTTGTAATATTTTTACACACTAGTGTAGACTATTCATAACATTTATACAGGGTATAAAGAGTGTTTGGACAGAACTCATTTTCATCCAGAACGTATTTAGTTGAAAGACAATTTCCAGTTTCTTGATCTTCCCTCCACAATAAAAGCATACTGTGAAAGATTTTTTCCTTGCCTCATGCCTGCTACCCTTTCACTACCTTCTTCTAGAATGACAAATCCAGGTTTATCAGCTGGACTTGTTTTTTTTTTCTTTTCTGGGATATGAAGAAGTTGAGTCCAAATGGGTCGGCTCGCCTATCTCTTCTCTATTTCAAACCATCCTCCATTTGCATTCTACCTCCCCTCCTTTGTTTTTGTCTCTATGGTTAAACTCTATGGTTAGCTCTATAATTTGTAATCCCGTCCAACCCCTTCTTCAATATTTCTTCTCTCAAAAATATGGCCTGACATTCTAAATATTATTTAAATACCAACTTCTCATATTGCTTCTCATATTCCTTTCAACTGTTGTCTTCTCCCTGGGTTCTTTTCAAAATCAAAATCAGCAGTGTGAAATATGGCTTAAACTTCACAACTTTTTAAGTTGCAAATTAAACTTTCCAATTAACTACTGAACATTCTTTTTGGAAATCTTGCTAATTTGTTAAGTTTAAAGGGCAGCTAGAGTCATAAAACCTGGATTTAAATTGTGGTTCTACCATTTACTACATAGGACCAGTAGACAAATTATTTACCTGTCTTCTAGGATCATTTGATTTGTCCAGAAAAAGGAGAAAATGTTGCATGGTTGTTATGATGGGCTAATATAAAGATAGAGGTAAAAAGCAGATTTTCAGTGACTGTTGCCTCTTCTACTCCCATTTTCAATTTCCAATTCCTCTATAGCTATGTAATGTTTCTCATATCCCTTCTTTTCTCTATGGACATGAGATGGATCCTGGTCCAGATCTTTAATATCTAACTTCCAGATCACCAATTCTTTCTTGAACTGGATGTAATTGGCTATTTGTTTTATTTATTAATAGCAGTGATAATATTTTTTTCCTGTTTTCTATTTAATCTTTTTCAAATCCTTTATTATTTGACTGTGATTTCTGTTCTTTCTTTGGTCTCCCAACTATTTTAAACAAATATAGTTTTTTCCATATTTCCTATTATTTGTTACTTCTTGTATTGCTAATTCTCCTGATTCTTGCATTTGCTGATTCTCCCTCCTGGTATTTTGCCTCATGATATTTGTAATTATTGTATTTATTGTATTGCACTTCTTAATATTAATATTGTATTGTATTTATATTCAGTGGGATGTATTTATCTTTTGAGATCTCGTCCTGGTTTGTGAAACAGTGTTATAGACTATGTTTGAGTGTTTCTCTGGGGGTGGAGCCTTCAGGCAGTTCAATGGTCCTTGATCAATTTATACTAATTTTCATGTTGACTTCATCTGCACATGGTTCATAGTAGGAGTTTCGGTTTCTGAAGGATAATTCCTTTCCTCTTCCTCTCCCAAAACCTTGAATGAACTACAGATTTCTTAAGCACTTCCTAGGCCTGTGAGTGCATGGGGGTTTTCTAGTCCA